TTACTGGATCCATAAAGGATTATCAGTTGCATTTGTTATTGTTTGTTGTGGAGATTATATCTGTGTAGAGTGTTTCAAAATAAAAAGCAGACTACCAAGAGTGTCACTTTTTGATTTCTGTTCGCTGGTTTTATTCAGTGTTCTCAATGATGGAAAATTATTAGTGTTTAAAGATGTATTATTTCGATTTTCTTCCAGTATTTCAAAGGGAATGACGTTATCGTGTTTTTATCCAGAAAAAAACGCAGCTCCTCCGTTTACCTCCACTTATTTTTAAGGCAGTCTTGCCCTCACAAACATGGCGGACGCGTTGACGTATCGCTGCAACGGCTCAAAGCGGCCAATGAGGCGTCTAGGTATTTATATGTCTATGGTGTAGAGGCGGTAGTGTGTGATCCTGCTCCTCCGCAGAAGAAGCCGCTCTTCTCCTCTCCGCTCATTGGTGGCGCGTGCTCTGCTGTGTCTGTCAGAGTTGGCGCGAACGTGCACGCCGGCGCGAGACAAAGAGCATCCTGCACTCCCGAGGAAACCACCGGTATCCTGTTATCGGTCAGGTTTACGAGTGATAGCTGTCTGTCGAGGCGTTATGGCTGATAAAGAAGGTCGGTATGGTTCCGTGGCATTCGGGGTTCTCTCTTTTAAAGGCGGTGGTTAAATGAAGCCGGCTGCGGAGGTGTTTGTTGGTGTGAATTCAGCGCAGGCCGAATCCCGCCATAACAACAGTGCTGCTACATCAGTACAGTTCACATATTAGAGCTTGTTATGAGCACACAGTAGCAGTTTTTCGGCGTAAATGTGTTATTATTATGATGGGAACGTGTTAGGAAGTATCTAAACTATTAAGCTATTTAGTTAGTTTGTTTGGCTTTTAAGTTGAAGTGTGTGAATGTGGGATGCGTCGCTTCATTTCAGGAACCTTTTGAGTATTGTTTTGGATTTTTTTTTTGTGTGTTGCTAACTGATAATAAGTGAAAAATATTTTGGCAATGTGCACTTAATGTTAAGTCGTTTTTCAGAGTTTTTTTTTATGACAGATTGAACAATATTGGTTGCATCTTCATCTTCCAGTAGATTTACATATAAATTAGACAGTCATTTATTGTCATACAGTAATTGTGGTGGTGGTGGGGGGGAACTTTGATATTTCATATTCAAGTTGCTCTAAAGTATCGATGTTGAAGTCGTTTTGACAGCTCTCATCTTGTTTTCCCGCCCCTTTTTGTTACAGCTGCATTTGATGATGCGGTGGAGGAGAGGGTGATAAATGAAGAATATAAAATATGGAAGAAAAACACTCCGTTTCTTTACGATCTGGTGATGACCCACGCGCTGGAGTGGCCCAGTCTTACTGCTCAGTGGTTGCCAGATGTCACCAGGTAACACACGTTCACACCTGCTGACATTACCTTTGAAACAGGAATGAAACTAATGATTATTTTGGTAATCAATTAATTGGAAGAAAAATCCAAAATTACAGCTAACTGTAATTTGCTGTTTTCTAGATATGTTTTGTCCCTAAAATGTTTTATTCACTGCTGTAAAGTAATGTGACGAATGTGATTAATCAATAAACAAATTAATTGTCAATTATTTCCATTATTTTGGATTAGTTGTTGGAGCCCTACTTTAAAATATTTCATTTATTGATTGAGTAGGTGTGGCTCCAAGTGATGTTTGGTGGGCTTTTTCACCCTCTCTTTTCAACTTTTTTTTTTAAATTCGTGATGTTATGTTAATAGTGATCTTTCAGGCTCACTGCTTTAGGAATGTGGTAATGAATATTGTGTGCCCAGTGTTTCTGTTTCATCACAGTTGTATATTTTTATAAAAGTAGGTGTAAATAAACACACTTGTCATCTGTTTCACAGACCTGAAGGGAAGGATTTTAGCGTACACCGTCTGGTTCTCGGCACACATACCTCTGATGAGCAGAATCACCTGGTTATTGCCAGTGTCCAGCTGCCCAATGATGATGCCCAGTTTGATGCCTCACATTATGACAGTGAAAAAGGAGGTGAGTGGTTTATATATGATGTTTAGATCATAAACTAAATTGTGACTGCATCATCTCCACCGGTGTACTTGCCTCATGTTGTCACACCTGTTTCTCTGTTTGTTCACAGAGTTTGGTGGTTTTGGCTCAGTAAGTGGCAAGATAGAGATTGAGATCAAGATTAATCATGAGGGAGAAGTGAACAGGGCTCGCTACATGCCACAGAACCCCTGCATCATTGCCACCAAGACCCCCACTAGTGATGTGCTGGTCTTTGACTACACCAAACACCCCTCCAAACCTGGTATGAGCAATTCTGAAAAAGTTATGTCACTTTTAACTCAACGTATCTAGTAGCATTGCCTAAAAAGCACTTAGTTTGAAGACAGCATTTTAACATGTAAACACACAGCACACCGTTTAAAGCACTGCACTAAAAAATAAATTCTAGATTTGTAACCACGCAAATCAACTAGTTGTTCAATGTGGTTGTGACCATGCCTTATTTGGTAGGGAAAACATGATAATGGGAGACTTAACTTTTTATTTCCAAGCTACTTGTCAACTCAGTGTTTGTGTGTAGGTATCATATGTCAATATTAAGTATTCCCTCTAAATTTGTGCTCTTTGTGTTCCCTTCCTGTGCTCCTGGAAGACCCCTCTGGAGAGTGTACTCCTGACCTGCGTCTGAGGGGACATCAGAAAGAAGGATATGGTCTGTCCTGGAACCCCAACCTGAGTGGCTGCCTACTGAGTGCATCTGATGATCACGTAAGACATTATATGGTGACCACAATTAATTATAGCTGTACAATTGCAAACATGCTGAGGTTTCAGATGTTACTTTTTGTACCCTGCATTTCAACAGTTCTTCTGTTTTTTCTGCAGACCATCTGTCTGTGGGACATCAGCACAGTGCCAAAGGAGGGAAAAATAGTGGACGCTAAGACTATTTTCACTGGTCACACGGCTGTAGTGGAGGATGTGTCTTGGCACCTGCTGCATGAGTCTCTCTTTGGGTCTGTTGCAGATGACCAGAAGCTTATGATGTAAGTTCTTTGTCTTCCTGTGTGTTTCTGTACTCTGAATGACTTTTAGCACATAGTGTAATTTTCAAAGGTATATAACTGTTTGAACAGTGGTTATGTAATGCGAGCAGTATTTTAGTCTGATTTCTCCTCTCTCTTTAGCTGGGACACACGCTCCAATAACACATCCAAACCCAGTCATGCAGTAGATGCCCACACTGCAGAGGTCAACTGTTTGTCCTTCAACCCCTACAGCGAGTTCATTCTGGCCACCGGTTCTGCTGACAAAGTGAGAACTACATTGAGCAATTGGTTCTGTCACACCTGTGAACACTTATTAAATGTGCTTCTATATTTAGACCTCTTAATTGTGCTTTTTGTCTCTCACAGACTGTTGCATTGTGGGATCTGCGAAACCTGAAGCTGAAACTTCACTCATTTGAATCGCACAAAGATGAAATCTTTCAGGTATCAAATCCCTTCCTGCCATGATTGTAGATGAAATTAAAGATAAATAAGTGCGATAACATAAACTCTTCAAATGTGTCCACAGGTTCAGTGGTCACCCCATAATGAGACCATCCTGGCCTCCAGTGGAACAGACAGGCGACTCAATGTTTGGGACCTCAGGTGGGTTGTCTCATTTTCATTTTACTCACTACTACCGCAGAAATGGAAAATACTTTATTATTAACATCTTTCTACATTGTTAATGAGAATTCATTGTTTTTCTTGTAGTAAAATCGGTGAGGAACAGTCACCAGAAGATGCAGAGGATGGACCTCCAGAGTTACTGGTGAGTAGTAATGTTGTTCAGTTTTATTTTAAGTGTATGTATATATTTAGATAGTTATTGTGCTTTTCTCTGAGGTAATGTTATGGTGCGTTCAAGTCATGTCGGATAGATTGTATTTGTATTTTCTTGTAATTTATTAAAAGAAGGTACACCGCCATCTTGTGCCGACTAAACTGACTTGAACGCACCTGACGTCGTAATTACGACTTGTCAACTCGTAAGTACGAATGTCCCAGGAGGACTTGAACGCAGCATTATTTACAATTTATTTTCTAAAAAATGTAGTTCATACATGGAGGCCATACAGCCAAGATTTCTGACTTCTCCTGGAATCCAAATGAACCGTGGGTGATTTGCTCTGTGTCTGAGGACAACATCATGCAAGTCTGGCAGATGGTAAGGACACAATCAGCTTTTAAGCCTATTTGTTACAACTTAGAATTTTCTATCAGCTCCTCTGCAATAAATAAACACCAGCTCAAGTGTATGCCACCCCTAAATATGGACGTTGGAGGAAAAAGTTGTTTGTGCAAAAGAGTTTTAGCATAACCTTTCTAGTTTTATCTTATAGCTCTGATTTATATGCATATTTTTTATTATTTATTTAGGCAGAGAACATCTACAATGATGAGGACCCAGAGGGGGCAGCAGACACTGAGGTTCAGGGATAAAACGGCTCTTTACACCACCCCACTCTCAGCATAAGACAAAACTCTTCTAAAAACTGTCTGTCTACACACAAGTGAAGAACTTAAGTGCTCTCCCCTAAGTAATGGAAAAGGAATAATTAACTATTTCCCCACCAGGCATTTTCTACTACTGTTAATAGAGTATTTTTCTAAGAAATATGTCAGTTGATCATTGGTCAATATCACAATGAGACAAATGAACCTTCTCATCCCTTCCCACCAGTGTCTCATGAAGATTTCCTTGCAGTTTAAGTATACTTAAAGTATTACTTAATCTCAGAAAAGTGTATACAGGTGTGTACTGTAGTATATTGTGACCAGAGTGCAGTGGTACAATGTTGATGTTCAGTAGATTTTTTTTTTTTTTTACTTGTCCTACAAATGCATTTTCCCATTTAAGTATCCATTTAATTACTGGCTAGATGTATTGATAACTTAAGCTCTTGTGTACTCTTTTTACTTTGAGCTTCATGTATCAGTCAGGTGGTGTTTAATGTCTTTTTAATGTGACTTTTCAATGTTTTTCTCCTGTATGTCCATACCGTTGTACAGAACATTATGAATAAACTCTTTTTGTTGATAAAATATATTTTATATGTTGTTGGTGACACAGCTTTTGTAAGATTTTCTATGTTAAGTGCATTGTATATCTCTTACATAAATTGCCAAGTTCCAAAATGTGAGAAATTGTGCGTGACCCAGGCAGCAGAAAATGATTACCATTGTTAACCAATCAGAAGTTGTAGGCGACTGCATGCCAATGGCGTGAGTTAGGGGCGGGGCTACCTGTTCGTCTGTGGGCTTGGCTCTTGCCAGCTTTCGCGCTTCACTGCAGGCTCGGGGACTGCGCGGAGACTGAAAGCAATGGCGATTTTTGAGGTAAGACTTTTTTTTTAGCTTGTGGTCAGTTATGGGATTTTTAATGTAGGGTTTTAAATTAGTACTGCAGTATTATAGTAAAGAGCAAGTTGACAAGATTAAAAGCAGGTAGTGTTTCGTACTGTTTACTTATTTAGTTCATTGGTACAGGTATGTAATTAGTATTGTACTTGTAAGAGTACTTTGTCATTTTTTATTTAAATTTTTTACGTGGGAGTCAATATACTTGAAAACAGCAGAGATCATCACAGGATAAATGATAGCTGGCACCTACCCTTCCTCCCTCATGCTCATGTCCAGAATTTGCCGCAGTTCCCTCTCATAAGTGACCACAAAAGATTGATTTGAGATGGATATTACAACCAGATGTAAACGACGATCAGTCTTGCCTGCCTGACCACTTTGTAATTGTTTAACAAATGAAAGGCAAAAAAGAGACTGAACAAAACCCAGTGTTCCTCAACAAATGCCTTTTATTTTTGCAATTACCCAGATTCAAATTTTCTACGTTTTAGTCACCAAAATGTTTTGAAATAGCAACTTATTCAGTTAAAAAAAACATGCTCCCTGTCACTCTGACAGAGTTCATATCCTTGTACTGTACTCTATTCACAACTAGGTACGAGTCATATAAACAATATTTCTAATTCTTGTTTAGTTCATCTTATTAACAAGACATCAAATCAACCAATCACTTAATTCATCTCCAAGTCCTTCATCTAAACGTTCTCACCATCATGCTGTCGGCATGTTTGTAGAGCTCTCCTACAGTGCCCAAATAAGTTTTGCCCACTTAACTCATAAGAGAAAGCACGTTCACAGGCACCACTTGATATATGAGCTTTATTCACTCTTCTACACGCAACAAAACAATGTTTTAAGAACATTCTAAACTGTGTAACTTGTCAGATAAAGATCTGGATATCTGACACAATTGGTACTTGCTGTTCAGTATGCTTTTTTTTTTTTTTTTT